TTATGATTTCTTAGGGAGCTTTAGAAAATGCTGATACCTGGGACCCAACCCAAAACAACTAAATCATATTTACTGAGGGTAAGATCAGGCACTGGAATTTTTGGTAAGCTTTCCACGTGATTTTAATGTGCATACAGGATTGAAAATCTCTGCCATAAGCCCACTAAAATTGTAGAAGTGTGTGTGTTACTTTCTTGGGGGAAGTTCCTGTAAATTTTTAGAGGGCTTCATGAGCCAAAATGACAAAGGACTAATACTTGAATATCAGTCCATTTATAATGAACTTATATTCCTCAAATTTTATAGAATTATTGGGGAAAACTAGCCTTTTTATAATAGACTAACTAGCTGACAACTTTAAAATTTTTCTTTTTCTTATGTTCTTCAGTGTAACATACAAATTATTTTCATTATCAGAAACTTACTCATAAATAATTTATGTTCTTGGTTTTTGTTTAGTGTATCATAGAGTTTTCTCAAATAAATATAAGAGATTCTGAGATTATTATCCAACTAGTATCTTTATCCAAAACAGGATTGTACAGTTTTGCTGCCTGCCCTTTTTCAGGCTTGATGAAAATCTAGTGATATGAGAGTAAGTGACAAAGTTATTGCATTTGCCCATCTAAATATGTGCCACTGAGCATTTTACTGTACTTTTATTAAGTATCTATCAATTATATATGGGTTATACACACACACACACACACACACACACACACACATCATCCCAAAAAATGTATACACACTTTTAAAAAATATGTATTTTTATTGATTTCAGAGCGGGAGAGGAAGAGAGTTAGAAACATCAATGATAAGAGAGAATCATTGATCAGCTGCCTCCTGCATGTTCCACATTGGGGATTGAGCTTGCAACCCAGGCCATATGCTCTGATCAGGGATCGAACCATGACCTTCTGGTTGATAGTTCGACCCTCAATCACTGAGCCACCCCAGGCGGGCTACACACTTTTTATTGAAACACAGCCATGCTCATTCATTTGCCTGTGGTCCACGGGTAATCTGCTACAATGGCACAGTTGAGCAGTTGTGACAGAGACCATGTGTAGTATTCTCATTACTTCCCACTGCTACTTGTTGCAGTGCAGATCACAGTTGACACAGTTATAACTCAACAGCATTTTGAGTGTCACACATACTGCTGCCCATGATTATTTTATTTACTTTTTAATATTAGTCCATGCCTATTAAGTCAAAACAAGAAAAGAAAATGGATTTTGAATGTCATACTACTAAGTCACAGTGGAGTATGGATTATTTCGTTATTGAATTAGATGGTAAAGCATTGTGTTTATTTTGCAGTGACACCCTGGCTGTGCTAAAATAATGCAATATATGTTTACATTACCAAATACACATGCCATTCAATATTACCAGCTCAGAAAACAGTGCTAGTCAGAAAACTTAGAGGACTTAAAATGGAATACCTCATTACAGCAGACTTTCTTTAGAAAAATAGAATATGTAAATGAGAATGCAACCAAAATATGTTTCTGGGTGGTTCATTTGTTAGCCAAGTAAGCAAAGCCATTTACCAATGATGAATTAATTAAGTAATGCTTCATTTAAGTACTGAAGAAATATGTCCAGTGAAAATAAACGTGTTGTAACAATTAGTTTTTCAGTGAGAATATTTGCTTGAAGAGCTGAGACATTGAGAGCAACATCATTAGTTGATTAAAAAAAAATTTACATAATTTCATGTGCTTTCCCTTCTTGATGAGTCAGCAGGTGTGATCAAAAAGTGCTCAGCTGTTGTTTATTTGAAGAGTCAGTGCCTAGTTTTAAGCAACTGAAGACTTACTCTCTGTGAATAGCCTGAGTGGGTCAACTACAGATAAGAATATTTTTGAGGAAGTTAAGACAACACTAATCCAGTATAAATTGAAGTTGAATCTTTTAAGATGTGTAACAAATGAAGGTATTAAAAATATGTGTGAATCTGAAAGAGGCTTAGGTGAACACATTTACAAAGCATATGGAAATGTTAAGAGTCATAATCCTATGGTTATTCAGTATATAATTCATCATTGGGTACTTTGTGAAAAATATTTGAATCTAACCATATGTTATTGAATCAATCATGTCACCAGTGACCTTCATTTGCTCTTGTGGACTTTACCATCATCTATAACATGATTTTTTTAAATTAGAAATTGAAACTGAAAATCTTGACTTGCCCTATCACATAAAACTTTGCTGATTTAGAAGTGGAAAGTTTTATTGGTGGTTTTTTTTTTTTGTTTGTTTGTTTGTTTATTTTTAGTTCAGATCCCAGATTGAAATCTTTCTAAATAATCAAAATTTCCCTCAATTGTTATTATTGAAAATTGAATTCTCAAAGTTTTGAATATTAGCTTGTGCTAAAGATTTGATAATTTTTCTATTGAATTCAATCTAAAATTACAAGCTAATTTAATGCTTATATGCAGAACTTACACTGCAGTAAAGTCATTTAGATGACAACTAATGTTATTTGAATCCCAGGAAACATCAGGTTGTTCTATATACTTCCTGTGCAGTCCAACATTTAAACACAAAGCAAGATCACTATTCTTAACAAAATTTGTAGCTGATGACTTTTCTGAGTTCAAGCTATGTTTCTAGCAGCATATTTTGGAACTTGGTGCAGATATTTCAACATTTCAAAATCTACTTACTTGTGCAATTGAGGAGTTCCCACCTAACTTTAGAAGTGATAAATGTTCATTATAGTGACATGCTGAAAAGCATGTAATATAATTTTATAAATGCCAGCTAAGCAATAAATATACTCAATTGAAATCATATGCTCATGGATTGATAATGGTATTTCGCAACACTTACCTCTTTGAAAAGATATTTTCAAAGATCAAATGCATAAAATCTCATTATATATCTGCTTTAACAAGTGAACGTTTGTAGCTGATTTTGATGATAAGCACTAGCTTTGAATTTCAATGAAGGTAAACATTATTACCCTAAAAATATTTCTAGCCTCAGAGTAGACTGTTATTATGATAAATTAAGCTCAATTATCATTATTGATGATGATTTTGAATTTGTCAATAAAATATTTGTGGATACTTTTTCTCCTTTTTCTTATATTAATATCTATATAATATGCCTTGATTTTTGTCTCTTGGAAAAGCCTAAAATACTTTACTCTTCAGAGCTTTATAGAAACTGTTTGCTGACTGTTGTGGGAATGGCACCGATTTTACCTATTAAACTGTCTGAATCAACCTTCTCAATTGTTGGCATGACAAATACTGCAATACTCTCATCATGTCTTAAGGCCTTGGTTTTATCAAGTCTGTTTTTGCCTGTTTTCACAGTCTTAGCTCAAGCTTGTTTTTTGGGTGAATTATATGCAATTATGTGAGACTATTTAAGGGAATACTTTTTGAAAGAGTGAGTTGGAAAGATTTGGAAATATGAAAAATATTAGAAGCAGATGATATATTAGGAGAGATTGGTTGAGGGGAACGAAGAGGTCACATAGAATATAGGTGGATTTGTCAGATTGCTGGTGGCTATCTTTAACAAAAACTTTTGCATGATTGATTAGAAGTCACCTTCTGTTTAATTTTGAGAAAAACTAATACATATTTGTGCATTGGTATAGAAGGTTATACATAAATTGCTATGAGATTAATAAAAAAGGTTTATTCCATTTATGTTGCAGTAATAAAGATGTCAGGAAATTACTTCAGGCAACTGCCACCTTATTCCATTTCTTTTTTTATTAACCAAATATCACAATATGACAGTATTGGAAACTTATAATTTATAATTTTTCAAGAGGTTGGGTCTCTGTAAGAGTTCTGTAAGATATAGATGATGATATCCAGTGGTTTGGGATGATATCCAGTGTTATATAAGTACTGAAAACTTGTTGTTATCCATAGTAATTATTTTAGGTTTTTTTAATCTTTACAGTCAAATCCTTCAAAACTAATTAATACATGCAGATAATAAAAATCTGAAATATCTTACAGAAGGGTATACAATGAAAATCAAGCTCTCCCTCTTTTTTTATAGACCCCATTTGTAGTTTCCAGTGTTAATTCATTTAAAAATGTATGTATCTTTTCAGTATGTATATATAAGTATTACATGTATATAAATTGTTTACTCAAGTGGGGTTATTCTGTGCCGTCTTTTACCTTGTTCTCTTAACATTTATGAACTCTCAATAGGGTACAGTGTTCTGCTTTCATGTAACATGATTATTGAGTTTAGTTTCTTATTGATGGACATTAAATTATTTCCCAGTTTGTTAATATTACAAGGGGTGGAAACAGGTTTTATGGAGACTGAAGCTTACAAAAATTTTTTTTTTTGGGGGGGGGACTAGAACAAAACTAAACTAAATGTAAATTAAGTACAGACCCTTGGAAGATATCTTGCTAGTGAAGTGCCTGAAGGTTATGTGTCATTAGTGTTATAGTAAGTTCACCTTTGTTTATTGCAATTACAAGTAGTGCCACAATAAACATCCCTGTGATTACATCTTTTTTACTCATTGAAGCATATTATTTTGGATAAATTTTATGAGGTGGAATTAATAAAATGGACTCTAGACCGCAGGCATGTACCGGGATTGCACGTTGGATCCCCTCCCCAGCTGGGAGGCAACCAACCTATATGTCTCTCTCACAATGGTCTCTCTCTCTCTCTCTCTCTCCGCCTCCTCCCTGCTTCCACTCTATAAAAATCAATGGAAAACATCCTTGAGTGAGGATTAACAAAAAACAAAATAGTCTGCTCTGTACCATCCAATAAAGTAGCCACTACCCACATGTGTCCGTTCAGCCCTTAAAATGAGGCAACTGCAACCAAGGGACTGAAATTTTACTTTAATTTAAATTAAATAACATTTGGCTACTGTTTTGGACATCACAACCTTAAATGTCTGAGTGTGTGTGTGTGTGTGTGTGTGTATGAAGTGAATGTAATTAAAGTATGGATTGATATGAGGAAATTGTCCATTCTAGGTTGAAAACTTTAGCAGAGGAACTTATGCAGACACAGCAAATGCTATTAAACAAAGAGGAGGCTGTCCTGGAGCTGGAAAAAAGAATTGAGGAATCTTCTAAGACCTATGAAAAGAAGTCTGAGTAAGTAAAACAAAAATAACTTGAAGAAAGAAAGTGTAATTGATTAAAATTTTACTAAATACTACTTTTATGTGTATTATGGATTTAAAATTTCTAGAAGCTGAAATTTCATTTTAAGTATAAAACTTAGATATATAAAACTCTAGAAAAATAGCATGTGTTTGTTAATATAGTGTACAGATTATATATTTTAATATTGTATATTAAACACTTTTCTGAAAAATCCTGTTAAAAGTTATCTTTACTTTCCCTCATCACTGGCCACAGGATTCACTGTGAATTCCTTGTTAAGAAAATGGCGGGCCAGTTATATGTAGAAATTGGCTTCTACTATGTTAGAAGGAAGAAACATATTAAAAAATAGCAGTCTGCTTCACCTATAAAAATCTGCTATAAAAAAAAATAGCAGTCTGCTTCATCATTGTTTTTCTTGCTGATTTCTGGATCTGTGAATATTTTTCTGAAACCTCTGATTTTACTTGTCTTGTTAAAGTCTGCTTTTAATTTTTGTGTAAATTGTGTTTTCTACTGTTTTAAGTAGATTTTGAAAAGATTTTAAATGCTAATTTGACTTTGGCAATGATTTGCATCTCCAACAGGGATTAGTTTCCTTCATGTGACTGGCCCAAGTAGAGTTCTTTCTGATATGCTCTCACATACTCAAGGAAATTGTGATGTGTAGGATTTCTCTCTTTGGTTTATGCTTGCTCTTATTTTCACAACTTTCAGATATTTACTTTTCTCAAATGCCTGATCTCCTTATCTCTCCCACTGAAGTCAAAGAATATCTCTCCTACATTATAAAAAGAGTTAGAATCATCAGGTGGCAATTCTTATTTTCTGGGACTAGATATCCAAATCCATCACATTTGTTCCCATTCTCTTTTCTTACTTCCATAGAGGAACAGATCCTAATTCTAAGTCTGTTTCTTGTGTCTGTCTCTCGTATCCCATCATCACTTACTTCCTTAGAAAATTTGAATTATTTTACATATATGCCCACCTTTTTCTCTCGACAGGATCCTGTATCACTTTTTAAGTATGACTGTCTTTAAAAAATGGTTTTATTGATTTTAGAGAGAGAAGAAAGGAGAGGGGGAGAGAGATAGAAATATCAGTGAGGAAGAAATATGAATCAGGTACCTCCTGTACTCCCATACTGGAGATCAAGCCAGGCTGGGCCCTGACTGAGAATTGAACCAGTGACCTTTGGGTACATGGGATGATGCTCAGCCAACTGAGCCACACTGGTTAGGGCTTTGCTTAGGTCTTGATCCTAAAAATAATCTTTATCTCTCTGCCCACTCCAGATAATTCTTTTTAAATTTTCATAGTACCTCTGTCTTTGCTTTTCGTTTTTTTTTAGTTAAACTTGTTCTAAGAGTGATTATGCACAAGCATTTTCTCAACTCCCACTTAGTTTTCAACCTTCAGATATCTGGCTTCTTCCCATCACTACTGAAATAGGTATGTGTAAGATCACTAATGATCTCTACATTCTAAATTTAGCAACTGTTTTATTTGATCTCACGGTATCTTACTTTATTGACTTTGTTTCTTTTTTTCTTCTTTAAAAATATATATTTTTATTTTAGAGTGGAAGGGAGAAGAAGAGATATATATATAGAGAGATAGAAACATCAATGATGAGAGAGAATCATTGATCGGCTGCAACCAGGGCATATGCCCTTGACCAGAATCAAATCTGGAACCCTTAAGTCCACTGGCTGATGCTCTATCTGAGCCAAACCGGCTAGGGCTATGTTTCTTCTTTTCGATTGGCCTTTGGGACCCAATATGCCAGATCTTACTCCTCTCTTTCTGGCCACTCTTTCTTTATAAACCTATTTTCCTCCACTCAGCCAATCCATTTTGGTGTTACTAAAGGCATGGCCCTAGGTTATGCCTGCCACTCACCTCCTGAGCTCTATCTCTGGGTGATCACCTAAAGATGATGCACATTTTTTACTTCCTGATTTCTCCTCTGAACTGTCTGCCCATGCAGTCATTTGCCTACTTGACAGGCCTCCTTGGGTGTCTTAAAAATACACTAAATTTTCTGTGTCTGAGACTGAATTAAAAATTTCAATTCAACCCAATTCAATCCAACCTAGTTCACTCTTAGTATTGCTTATTTCAGTGAATGGCAGCACCATTCATCCTATTATACTGCTCAGCATTGTAGGAGCCTGCACCTCTCATTTATAGGATGGCTATTATTACTATTATTATATCATATTGGAGTCACTGAGCCTTTCAGAGGCGAAAATAGAAATTTAAGTTACTCTGGGCATTCCTTTAATCTGAAAAATTTCAGTTTTGTATAACTAAATCTTCTATTTGGATTATAAAAATAAAATCTATCAACCATTGCTAATATTACATTCAAAATAGAATTATCTTTTGCTTTTTTCTATTTACAAATAAATTTCTTCCCATGTGTACAGAAGACAAAGTAGCTCTACTTTTTACAGCTTATAAATGAACACATTGTAAATGAATCCTGTTTTAAAATTTAGTGGTTATAAAGAAAAACAATAAGGTAGCTGACCCTCTCACTAGCATGTATGGCCATATATTGTTGGAAGAGGCAATCTTCAAGTGTTATCTTAATCTAGAAGTTGTGGGTTTCTTTGAATTTTTTTTGGTATGCTTTCTTGACTCAAATCCTTGATTTTGACTCTCTTTATCTACATAATCAGTGTGATCATGCTCCTTCACCTATTTAGATTTATCAGGAGATGAGAATGGGAGTAGAGAAGAGGGGGCTTAAATGTAAAGGGTAGTGGATATATGGGAAATACATTTCTTGAGTTCTTACTCTGTTCTACACATTCTATTGGATGCTTTATATATATATATAGTAAGCCAATGAATGTTTATTTGCTTTCTGTATAATTGCTTGTATTTTAACTTGAGGAGAATTTAGATAATTTAGAACCACGTGCCTAGTAAGTAGTAGAAAACACATGAGTCCCTGACTCCAAAGTTTCTATCTTTTTTTATCACAGCATTTGCTGGATCTTATGATTTTAATAGTGCTCTTAGGAGAATGAATTAGAAAGGATAATTATGTCAGGCAATTCAGAGGATGAGTCTTATTTAACCCAAGTTCTATTAGCCCTTCTTTACCACAGGGGTTTTATTGCTAGTTTCAATTAAAAAAAAATCTTAAAAATGTTAAGAATATTTACATAACGAAATAGTCATTGTAGAATCTTATTAATTTAGATTTGAGTAGGGTTGAAGTTTGTCTTTGAATAACATGTTAAAGTATTTTGCTAAACAAATAGTCTTCAGGGATTCTGGGGAAATGTTTGATTTCTCAATTTTGTTTCCTTTTTGTGTGTGTATATATGTATATATATACATATATTTAAGTACACTTAAATAATTAAAATCAATTTTTATTCAGTTTTAAAAGTAGATTTAGAATTATTTCTACTCTGTCACACAGTAGCTTCATTACAATGCTACTTGAAAATAACAAAAACAATAAAACTACCTTCTCTTGCAAATACTATTTACATTCTTAAATTAATGGAATCATACTGAATTTTGTGCTTAATAGAAATACCATTATTGGATCTATCATATTAATATAATATAATAAAGGACTAAAGTTAAAACCTACAAATTTGGATTTAAGAAATTATCTTTAAAACATCTTATAATAATAGTGACAAAATAAATTATATAAGAAATGATTTGATAGTTTTGATTCCTATAATTGAGTAATATAAAGTGAAAAGTAAACTTAGAGAATGATTTTTATATTACATGAAATTCACACAAGTGCAGAATTTTAGCTCTTATAAATCAAGTAGCTCTCAATTGAAATGATGCAGAATTTTATCTAAAAAAATAAGGTAAAGAAAGTAAAGCTAACCACTAGAAATGGTATGATTTTAATATAACATAAAGCATCACTCTAGTGTACATATCTTTACTTATTACTTTAAGAGTATGTTTACTCAACTGGAAATAACATAAATCTTCACTTGATTTATGATCCTTGACTACTGTACTAGAAAGTAGTTTATGGGACAATATACCAAGCATATGTCTTTTATGACTCAATGACATAAAGAGCTAGAACATTACTATTGGTTTTAGTGCTTGGTTTTAGTTTCAAAAAGAGAATGATTAATTCTGTACCAATATCACCTAGTACTTAAAAATACTTTCTACATCATAAAATCATAACTCCTGGAGCCATGCAGGATCTTAAGAGAGCTTTTGATTCATAATTGTCTTTCAAATTATATGATATCTGTAGCCCAGAAGTTTTAAGAGACTTGCAAAATGCCACATCTAGCCTGTAGGGAAGGTAAGAATTGAACCATCTAAAATATTGTTCTAGTCTGCAAATTCAGGGTACTTTTAACTTGGACTCAGCACTTTAAAATGACTTGTATTACCAAAAAATGTGCTATGTAAATAGGAAATTAATTCAACAATATTTATTGCATGTCTGCTAAGTGCCGTGAATACAATGAAAGGTAAGACATATATGGCTACATGTCTCATGAAGCTTATACTTTTGTGGAATGCACCAATACAACACAAGAGATTAACAGTTGTGATAATTGCTGTGAAACAGGTAGTTCTGATATAATAGAGGAGCACCTACTTAAGATAGGTGTCCAGGGGTCTCCTGGGAAATGGCATCTTAGCTGAGACTGAAAGACAGAAGGTGCCATCTACATGAAGAGGAGTTTGAGATACCGATAAGTAGCACATGCATAGGTTCTGATTCCTTCTGTTTTTTAAATTTACTTTATGGTTTCTTATGCATTATTTAATCATGAACTTACTATAAGTTTCTTCTTATTAAAATTTACACATAATTGTTTGCTCAATGGTGTTATAAGCATATAAAATAATTGTATAGTGTATTGTATAGTGATTATAGCAATACTTTAAAGAAAACTATTGAACAAAAGCAAGATGTTAAAGTATCTGAAATTGTCATTGTACATAGAGCTTAATAGGATTAATTGGAAGGAGCTAGTATTGTGCATTGACTTCATTATAAGACATGAAAATTGACCATAGCCATATAATAGGGCATATGATGCCCCTGCAAATCTCATTGTTTTTAAAAACCACTAAAATAAAAACCAAGAAATTTATATTTTAACCTAATTCTTGATAGTAGGATAGTATCTCAGAATTTCTGATTATAATTGGTACAATGTAGTAGATACTTAGAACTTCTGAAAAAGAATAAAAAAGGCCTGTCCTTAAAACAGATTATTTAGGAACCCAGGGCATATGAGACAAAAAGCCTCACCTTACCAGAGGAAGCATGATGACAGCAACAGTGATATATATTTTCAATTAAATATTTAATTTGGGATAATTATAGATTGCTGTCTATGTATATGACTTAATAGAGGTCCCATGTACTTTATATTCACTTTGCCCCTATGGAAGCATTTTGGAAAAGTATAATTTAATATTATAATTGTAGATATTGAGCCGAAACCAGTTTGGCTCAGTGGATAGAGTGTTGGCCTGCGGACTGAAAGGTCCCAGGTTTGATTCCGGTCAAGGGCATGTTCCCTGGTTGCGGGCACATCCCCTGTAGGGGGTGTGCAAGAGGCAGCTGATCAGTGTTTCTCTCTTATCAATGTTTCTAACTCTCTATCCCTCTCTCTTCCTCTCTGTAAAAAACCAATAAAATATATTAAAAAAATAATTGTAGATGTTGACTTTGATACAGTCATGACTTGAAATGTTTTCATCACTGCAAGGATTCCCTCATATTATACTTTTCTAGATACACTGTTTTCCACCCCCTTCTAAGTCCCTAGCATCCTTTCATCTTAGCTCCATTTCTACAGTTTTGTCTTTTCAAGAATGTTATATACAAAATTTTCACTGAATGTAACCTTTTTACATGAATCAATTCTCTACCTTTTTGTTGGGCTAATCTCCTGAGATTCATTGCAATATAATTGAGGAGATTTCAGCTTTCTTTAGAGGAAGCATCACTGAGGTTGCTTCCTACTCAGTTTGATTGGAATTGAGTTTCAGAATATCAATCAGGATCATATTTATAAATAAAACTCTCTTACCGAGAGTTCCTACTACCTTCTATTACTTACCCAGTTTATGTTGATCCTTTTAAATTCTATTTGAAGAAGTTAACTTTCTGACCTTATTCTCCAACTTTAAAGCTTCCTCTATTGACATTCTATTGTCTCTTACATATAAATAACTTACTTTTAGTAGTGCATGGCATAGTTCTTTAAGATATTATTATACTATGTATGACTGATTCCAAAGGTGTTCCCCACTACCTGGGTTTTCTTCTGTGTGTGTGGCTTAAATGGTGAGTGAGTTTGAAATTTCCATTAGGGGCAACATCCAAGGGGTAAAAAGTCACAATAAGGCACCATGTGGCTATGTAGTTCTCCAAAGGAGGGATTGGAAAGTCTTTTGTTTTTATAGTGATGACATTGGAAAGATTTGGGGACTTTTGCTCATTCCCTTATTTACAGCTCAGCCCTCAGTGTTGGTTAGAACTGCTTTCCCCAACTCTGAGCACACACTTCTCCTAGTATACAAACAACATGGTACCAGGCTGTCATCTTGATTTGATTTATTTTATGCTAGGCACAGATTTGATTCTAGCTATATTCCATGTGAGATATGAAGTACATTTAAGATTCTTCTTCAGTTATGTTAATTCATTTTAGGCCCTACGCTTCTGGACTTAAGTGTCTGTACTTTGTGAGGTAGATGGTTTAGCTGTAAAATAAAATGAATGCTATAGATCTTAATATACTTGAAAGTATCTTGAATTTGATTTGAGCTTCCAAATATTTTCTTCCATTTTGTTAATGCTACTCCTGTGATGGCTCAAAATCTATTTAGTTTCCTAATTCTTCTGATTCTGTAGGATTCATAAAGATGAAAACAAAAGCATATATAAGATTTCTTTATATATATAAGGTTTCTTTAAAGTCTGCATTTCTTAAGTCAATACTTAATGTGTTCTTTTTTAGTATTGTGCTGCTGATAAGCCAAAAACAGACACTTGAAGAGCTGAAACAGTCTGTGCAGCAGCTGAGGTGCACTGAGGCAAAGTTTACAGCACAGAAAGAATTACTAGAGCAAAAAGTGCAAGAAAATGAGGGAAAAGAGCCACCTCCGGTAATAAATTATGAAGAAGATGCACGATCAGTTACATCTATGGTAAGACAAAAAGTAATCAAACAAGAAACCAGAAGAGTGGTATGTAGGTAATAAGTGAATACAAAAGTCAATTCTCATTCTATAACAAATTGTTGCTCTTGTTAATATGCAGGTCCTATTAAACTTGTTTATAAATGCAAAGTAGACTTGTCAGTCACCTTCAGGTCACCTGGTGAGCACTATCAGAAACCACCTGTAGAGTCAGAGGAAAAAGCTCTTCTCTTGCCTTCAGAACTGAAAACAAAGACTGCAGTTGTTTTTATTCCTGGGAGACAGCAGGAAGGTAGGGTGTTATTCTTAAGATAGAAGTAAGAAATAAGGAGAAAGCTATTTATTAATTTTTTTCTTAATAACAGTAGAATATTATTTATCTAAGATGTGTTTATTGTTTTCACAATAAGATTTTTTTTCTTACAAATATCCTTAAACTACAATAAACACATTTAAATCCACCAACTAGAAATTATTTTAGTTTTATTAACTGTTTAAGAATACCTAGTACAAAATACTTTCCCTGTCTCCCTTTATTTCTTCATTCCTTTCTTCTTTCATCTTATGTTGGTGGTTCTCACCAAGGAGCAGTTTTACTCCCCGCTCTATCCCCACCCCTGCCCCAAGATACATCTGTCAATTTTTAAATTTATTTATTTTTAAATTGAATTTGAGTTTCACAGTTAGTAATTGCTATTGTTATCTAGTGTGTAGAGTCTGGTGATGCTACTAAACATTCTACAGTGCACAGGACAGCCCCTCACTTCACACACCCAACAAAAATTAACCCAAAATATCAATAATGGCAAGGATGAAAAAGCCTGAGCTATGTCCTTGGCTTTGTCTGTGGATAGTTGGTGCAGTCCATATAAAGAACCATCACAGGTAATGATACTATCCTATCTAACAAAAGAATAACATGCAAATTGACTGTCACTCTAACACACAAGATGGCTGTGCCCATGTGGACACAAGATGGTCACCACAGGATAGCCAGCAGGAGAGGGCAGTTGGGAGGGACCAGGCCTGCAAGGGAGGGCAGCTGGGGGCGATCAAGCCTGCAGGGAAGGACAGTTAGGGGTGACCAGGACCGCAGAGGAGGAAAGTTGGAGGCGACTGGGCCTGCAGAGAAGGGCAATTGAAAGGGACCCAGGCCTGCAGGAGAGAGCAGTGGGGGGAAGGGGGGGATGACACTAGGCCTGCAGGGGAGGGCAGTTAGGGGTGACCAGGCCTACAAGGGAGGGTAGTTAGGGGCAAACAGTCTGGCAGGGTAGCAGTTAGGCATCAATCAGGCTGGCAGGAAGAAGTGGTTGGGGCAATCACAAAGGCAAGCAGGCAAGCAGTTGGGAGCCAGCAGTCCTGGATTGTGAGAGGGATGTCCCATATTGGAGAGAGTACAGGCTGGGCTGAGGGACACACCCCTGTGCACGAATTTTGTGCATCGGGCCTCTAGTCTATACTAATAAAAGAGTAATATGCTAATTAGATCGGGGGACCTTCCTGAGACCTTCTGGATGTCCTTCTGGGTAAGGCCGTTAACTTGGCTGGCCTGCAAACCACCCCCTTACGGCCAACAGCCCCTCGCCCAGGTGGCGAAGAATGCCTTCAGAACTGTACCACTGGAAAGCAACAGGACCCGGGTTGTGCATTTTTATAGCTATTCCCAGGTGTGTAATCAGGTTAGGATTATATAGTCAGGTTAATAGCGTAAATGTAGTGATTTTTAATATATATATATTTTTATTGATTTCAGAGAGGGAAGGAGAGGAAAAGAGAGAGAGAGAGAAAAACAACAATGATGAGAGAGAATCATTGATAATTTGCCTCCTGCAAGCTCCCAACTGGGGATCGAGCCCGCAACCTGGATATGTGCCCTGACCAGGAATCAAACCATAGTTCATAGGTCGATGCTCAACTGGCTCATAGGTCGTTGCTCAACCACTGAGCCATGCTGGCTGGGTGATGTAGTGATGTTTATTTTGGCAATATAATTCAATGAAAATTAAAGCCCATCTATTAATTTACAGGAATCTTTAAAAAATTATGGCAGCAGATAATAGAATCATCTCTGTCAGGAAGAGATGCTTTCTAATGCTGTCTTTTTTCACCATGTCTAATTTTGCCCAGAATACAAAGGAAAAAATGATAAATACTAAGTATCACATAATAATTCTCTGTTGTCTGTGAATAAGTATGTTTCATTTATTTATTCACTTAATGTTTTTTTTTGAGCACCTGTTATATGTGAAGCTCATTTCTAGATGCTATGTATACATCAGTGAATAAAACTTATGAAAAAAAATCTCTCTTAGAGATTACATTCTGTAGCGAGTGGCTTAGTAAATAAAATAAACTGTGTATTTATAATGAAAGATAATGAATGCCAAGGGGTGGAAATGGAGCAGGGTAGAGGGTTGGGGGTTTAGAGGGTCAAATGTTGGGACATAATTTTAAATGCAAGGTAGGATAAGCATCACTGGGAATGTGGCATTTGAACAGACATGAACAGCTAGGATGTTACTTAATTTCTGGGGAAAGAACATTCCAGTCAGAGGGTACATTTTTTTACAAAGGCAATAAGACAGGAACATGTTTGGACTGTTCAGAGTACAGTTAAGGAGGTCTGAGTGGAGCGGAAGGTGAGTATAGAGAGTGAGATTAGAGAAGTAATGGAGAACAGATCTAAGGGCCTTGCAGACCATGATTAAGGATTATGGCTTTTCTCTGTATGAAATGGGGAGGCATCGGTATGGGCCGGGGGGGGGGGGGGGGGGTTATAACAAAGGAATGACATGCTCTGACTTTTAATAAAATGGATCATTATAACTGTGTTGAGAATATACTTAAGGGGAGCAGAGCTGGAAAAATGCTAACCCCGGGTATAGGAAATGACTGTTTGAGCAAGGGTGAGAGCACAGAAATGCCAAGGACTTTTTAGTTCCTAGATATATTTTGAAGGTTGAGCTTATGGATTAACTGTGGAGTATGAGAGAAAAGAGTCAAGGATGTCTTTAAGATTTTTAGCAGGAATATTAGAAGAACAGAATTTGTTTCAAGTGCATGAATAGACTACACATTGAGCAGCTTTGATAAGGAAGAACAAGATTCCAGTTTGTTTATAATCATTTTACTATATGAGCTCATCAAGTGAGTGGGGACAGATAAAGGAGAAAAGAGAAACAAAGGCTGAGGCACTCCAAGGTATGGATCTTGGAGAGAAGGAATTAGTAAGAAACTGGAGAGAGACCAGTGAGGTAGCAGAAAAAACAAAATTAATGTCCTTGAAATGTTTTAAGGGGAAATTAGTTTTAGAATTTGGGACATGCTGAGTTAAGGCAAAATAGTAGTATTGACTGGAGAAGTTTTCTGAGCTTTTAGTATCAAATGCCCAAGAGAGGAAAATATAACATGGAATGAAAGTGTCTTTGGAAATATTGGCTTAACCCCTTTTCAAAAAGAGTTCTGAAAAGACCACCATGCAGTGGATCATCCTTTGGGAAATGCTGAATTAGAAGGTAGACCCTTTCTTATCTAATTGGGTTATTGATAGATTAAATGTGCTAATAATTCTGAAGGCATCTGAGTTGGCTAAATGCTCTAAAACCCAAGGATTATTTTCTCTCATTCTTTAGTTACAGCTCTGGAGGGCAGAAAAATCTGCTTTCTGGGGCACATTAAGACAGTGAACTCTTTGTTAGCTGCCCTTGGATAATGGTGGAAATACCAGAATTTTCTGATCCCTGAGTCAACATTGGCTGATGTTCCTGTTTATTTTATTTATTTGATTATTGAAAAATAACACTTTCCTTCATGTTTGATTTTAGCTTTCTAGTTGTAAGAATATAATTTTTCAATCAGTATTTGTTGTATTGAGGAATTGGATTTCCTTTTCATTGCAGAGTAATCTAGTTATTTTACTTTATAATAGCATATGCTTTGATTTGAACCATCTACATCATAATTTTGTTTAAGGATTCTTCTTTATATGTCAAATATATAGAGAATTGATAGCATCATATAATGAATTTCTACTTTTTAAATATGTTTTGTTATTATATAAGATAATTGCCTTTACTATGATATTTCTGAAATTGCATACTTAAAGCCCTTTTTCTAGACTAATACACCAACTATAGTGGCCTTCTTCCAACTTGTTCTCCATACTCCAGCCACAGTAATCTTTTAAAATTTTAAATCAGAACAAATCTGGTTATATTTATCCTCATAAGAATGGTTACAATGACCTCTTAAAAAAAAATATATATATATATATTGATATATTCAATATATATATTGAATATATATAAATATATTCAATATATATATTGATTTCAGAGAGAAAGGGAGACGGAGAGAGAGATAGAAACATAAATGATGAGAGAGAATCATTGATTGGCTGCCTCCTGTATGCCCCACACTGGGGATGGAGCCCGAAACCCCGGGCATGTGCTCTGACCGGGAGTCGAACCCAGGAACCTTTAGTCTTGCAGGCCGACGATTTACCCACTAGCCAAACTGGCCGGGCACAATGACTTCTTATTACTTTTAGGCTAAATATCAATTTCTTTAAATGACCAACTAAAGGCCTTATATTGTCTCATCCCTAACATAATTGCCAGATATTTCTCTATGGAAGAAAGAGGGGTGGGGAAAAGGAAGATATGGCTTTGGAGAATAATCTTGGGTCAGTTTAGGGCTGATTATACTAATCTAGTTAAGAACTAAGTGTAATTGGAGTAAGTAAGAGATTTATACGAAGCTAACAAGTGTGGTCTAAAATCTTCAAGAGAAGGACTTCTGCCTAAAATCTTCAAGAGAAGGACTTCTCAATTATGAACGTCAGATATGCGGAAGTTGAGCATGAATGAGCATTGTTGGAGATGAAGACATCCAAGTAATTTGGAGGCACTGAGTATAAAAATCAGCCATGATAATGATACAGATTGAACTATAAAGAAAATAATCACAACCTGCTTGCTGGACAATGTCTGAGAAGCCAGTAGATGAAA